TAATGCTGCCTTAATAAAACTTATAAAATCTTGCTTTCACTTAGGAGTCGGTGAGAAGAAGTGACAAGGCATTGAAGCCTGCAAGGTGGTGATAATTCACCTGCTGCAGCATTGGATAAAACTGTTAACTGTGGAAAGTACTAGGCAGAACGTATTCCTGTGGAGATTAAAGCTGCTAGAGAAGTGCTTAGAAAGGCAGAATGTCAGTATATTTTGATTGCTATACGCAGTTTTTAGTAAAATATTATAACAAAAAATGAGCACAGATAGGAAAAAATGAACAGCTGAAATTAGAAATAGAGGTGACAGAACTTTTTAAGGGAGATAACCTAAAATTGGCTAATAAACTAGAAAAGTGAGATTTCTTAGAGTTGAAAAAACTAACTCCCTCAGTACTTCAAACAATGGGAAAAAGAGTGTCACTCATGGCTTTTTTTAGAGTCCCCCCATTTGGACTTTTCAGCCAAAAGTATGAAAAAGTCACATGCAAAGATTAGATTATAAATATTGCCTTCATACCACTATGAACTTTTTCATATGACCATGTTAGTCATCTTTAAAATAAAGAAAAGTGGGCCCAGGGCCAAGCTTACGCCTTTAATCCCAGCATTTTGGGAGGCCGAGAGGGTGGATAACCTGAGGTCAGGAGTTGGAGACCAGCCTGGCCAACACAGTGAAACCCTGTCTCTACTAACAGTATAAAATTTAACCAAGTGTGATGGCATGTGCCTATAATTCCAGCTACTTGGGAGGCTGAGGCAGGGGAATTGCTTGAACCCGGGAGGCGGAGGTTGCAGTAAGCAGAGATCGCACCACTGCACACCAGCCTGGGCGACAAAGTGAGACTCCGTCTCAAAAAAAAAAATAAATAAATAAAAAATAAGAATAAAAAAAGGCCAAGCAAAGAAGCCAATTAATTAAAAACAAGAATCAGAAGGTAAAGAAGTGTAACTAGAAGAGATTTTTGGTGAAGTTCTTCCAAATGAAACTAAATAGACCAGAAACTTTAATTCTTGAGAAAGTTGAAAAACCACTAGCTCAGCGTTGAAAGGCTTTTAATGGTGTGATACAAAAAGATATCCTGGGTTTATTAAACCAGAACCAGCTGCTTGTCATGGTGGCTCACACCTGTAATCCCAGTACTTTGGGAGGCTAAGGCGGGAAGATCATTTGAAGCCAGGAGTTCAAGACCAGCCTGGTCAACATGGTGAAACCCCATCTCCACTAAAACTACAAAAATTAACCAGATGTGGTGGTACACACCTTAATCCCAGCTACTTGGGAGGCTGAATCATGAGAATCTCTTGAACCCAGGAGGTAGAGGCTGCAGTGAGCCAAGATCATGCCACCTTACCCCAGCCTGAGTGACAGAGACAGATTCTGTCTCGGAAAAATCAAACAAACAAAACTGTACCAGCAAAAAGAGGCTAGGAAATCTGTGCAGTGGCCTGATATGGCCTGATGAAGCATACCACCTGCTTCAGAATATGCCATGGAAGTTAAGGAAACAAAGAGAATTTCCCAATTGGTCAAATGACCAACCAGAAAAGAACAATGGATAAGTTCCTCCCAAAGACCAGAACCAGTGTAACCAAGGAAATTCTGCTGCTGCCAGGTCAGGGAGTTCTCAAATTTCTGATCCAGAGTGATTTATTTCATAATTTTAATGAGCCAGTGACTTTTTCTAGGTAAGTATTTTTGTTGCAGTTGTCCTATTTCTTTTTCACCATTGTATATTGGCTAGGTATGGAGTGGGGGACTGGGAGGTATGAGAAAAATGACTGTGTTTCTGAGTTCATCACTGTTGGGCCCCCACTGGATCACACAGAAAGAATTGTGTGTAATTCAGAGATACTCAATTTTGAGTAGGATGCAGTAACTGAACAAGTCATTTGATTGTATAGTATCTCTTGGAGAACAGATGTTTTCTTTTTGGAAAGCAAAACAGAACAAAACAAAACATGAATACTTGTACATGGATACTTGGGAGGCCAGTATGGAAGTCTGTCAGAAACCATTAATTTTCCTCAGTGTTTTTCCCCTCCTTACTTCCTTTCAACAATAGAATCTATTGACCTTTTAGCTGGGCACAAGGTATGCAGCTAGAGAGAATACATCCCCAATCCTCCCTTGCAAAATAGGCCTTATCTCACAACTAATGCCAGTAGGATAAGTGAAAACAAATTTCTAAACTTTTTGAATCATGTATTGAAAAGAAAACTAATTGCCTTTCAAGAACTTCCCCCTGCAGGTTGGCAATCAAGTAGCAAAAACTTGAACAGTGGCATAATACCATACACAGACTGAACCCCCTCACTGGGAGTAACAGATCTGTTTCACCAGTTTGGTTCCCTAGATGACCTCATAAAGGAAAGCCCATGTTATTTGCCCTGGGTTCTCAGGTGAGAGAGTGATATGTTTTAATCTTGTTTCAACTACAACTACTGAAGTTTTGATTCCATTAATCCTAACTCCTACATCTTTCCTGGGATTATTATGATATTAACATTCTGCTTAAAATATGTTGAAGTTTCAGATGTATTAAGATTTATATTTGAAGCTCAATTATTCAGGATATTGAATATACACAATTGATCTGGGGTTTCAGGACATGAGACATTATAGCTGGGAAAGGTTAATCTGCATTTTTACTCTTAATTACTATTGTTATTAATAGCATTGCTCTGAACTACCTCTTTGTCTACAGAATAAAGCAAAATATTTTCCAATAAGTGTTTTTTTTTTGTTTTTTCTACATTTCCTATCATTTTATCTTCTGTTTTCTAAGAGAATTATCTCTATTTTCCCATTATTAAACTATGTATATATATTTTATTTATCTCAAAAACCAAGTTTTATAACATACCAGTTATGTTATCTATTTATTAAAGAATGCCTGCCTTAAAAATAAAACAATTACTTATTTCCAACTTGGATTTAACTTGTAGCTCTTTTTCTAGCTGGCATTTGTGTGTATTCTTGTGCATTGATATGCACACAAACATAATTCTTGAGTTTAATTTCTTTTCTTTTTAAAAATTCCTTGGGTTTAATAAGGATCTTTCATTTCTCTTTCTTTTTCCTATTTAGTATAACGTTTCCTCTTAGCAGAACTTTAATGGTACCCATGAGTTCTTATACTTAATTATTTTTCTCAGTTTGAGCATATTTATTGTTTGTTTGTGAACTTTCATTCCACCCTTTCCCAACAACTTAAGTTTTGACTTTTGGGTTTCAAATTGTGAAACAATAGCAAAGTTGGATTAAAGTAAAAAGATTCAGCTTCTTCAGCTCACCTTCTTTAATAGGCAACTTAAGAATAAGTCCTCCCTACAATGCACAATGGTGAAGTTCAAATGAGAACTTGAATAGGCAAATACATGACCAAACTAAAATGAACTGCTGTGCTGATATTAAGAGTTCCTGGTGGCCCATTGCTTGTCCATTACATAGGTCTTGATCTAGGAGTAGATTTTAACAAAAGTCACATCGAAATGTAAAAGCACTAAGCTGAGTTAAAGGCTGTGGACAGAAAACAGAAGGAAGTAACACTATGTTAACTACATGTTGCTGAGGGCCTCTACGCCAGGAAGGATTTTACCTTCCAGAAGCTCTAGACTGGCACCACCTCCAGTGCTGACATGGCTGACTTTATCCTCAGTGTTCCATTTGGCACAGCAAGTAGCAGTGTCTCCACCCCCTATAATAGTGATGCAGCCCTTGGAAGTGGCTTTCACAATTTCATCCATGAGGGCTTTGGTTCCCTTAGCAAAGGCATCCCATTCAAATACTCCTAATGGCCCATTCCAAACAATTAGCCTTGCTTGAGCTACAACTTGAGCATGATTCTTGTTGCTCTCAGGACCACAGTCCAAACCCATCCAGCCGGGAGGTATGCCAGATGCTACAGTGGCTTTTCCAACCTGAGCATTCTCATCAAACTTGTCAGCAGTAACAAAGTCAACAGGAAAGGTAATCCTTACACCATTCTTTTGTGCTTTGGTCATGATATCTTTGACAATCTTGGCTCCCTCTTCATCAAACAGAGAAGCACCAATCTCCATGTTGTTGAGTACCTTAAGGAAGGTGTAAGCCATTCCACCACCAATAATCATCTCATTGACTTTGTCCAGCATATTTTTGATAAGTTGGATCTTGTCTGCCACTTTGGCTCCACCAAGTATAGCCAGAAAGGGTCTCACTGGGTTTTCCAAGGCTTTAGCAAAGTAATCTAGTTCCTTCTTCATCAAGAATCCAGATGCTTTATGGGGCAGATTCACTCCCACCATGGAACTATGAGCCCGGTGCGCAGTGCCAAAAGCATCATTGACATAGACGTCCCCTAGCTTAGAAAGCGATGCTCGGAAGCCTTCTATTTTATCTGGCTCAGCTTTAATCTTCTTTCCAGAAGGATCTTGGCCCTTCCCTTCTTCCTCCACATGAAAGCGCAAGTTCTCCAGCAGGATGACTGAACCAGGAGCTGGGTTGGCACAGGCATTCTCCACTTCTGCGCCTACACAGTCCTTCAGGAACAGAACATCCTTGCCCAGCAAGGATTTAAGCTCAGCAGCAACAGGCTGTAAGGAATATTTGTCAGGCATGGGAACACCATCAGGCCGACCTAGATGACTCATAAGAACTACTGCCTTGGCTCCATTGTCTAGGCAGTACTTGATGCTTGGGATGGAAGCCTTGATCCTCTGGTTGTTTGTAATCTGGTTCTTCTTCATGGGAACATTGAAGTCTACTCTCATGATTACTCGCTTCCCTCTAACATCCAGTTTGTCTAAAGTCAACTTCTTAGAAAGAGACATCTTGACAATATAAAAACATAGGCTGACACCTGGATCTTAATGCTGAAGAACCAACTTGCTGTTGGGAGGCTGAGTCGGTGGTGATTTTTAACGTCCTTGCCCCTTGCCCCACCCCTTTCTTTTCCACACTGTCTCCAGCACAACAGCCACTGTTAGACTGGAAAGGAAATCTAGCTTTGTGATTGGCTCATGGTCCTGTCAATCTGGATCTGAAATGTGTTGCTAGGTGAAGATTCCAACTGCCTGGACAGAGGGCCAGGTAGGGGATTAGAGGTACCTGGCTTTGGGTGAGACTTGAGTAGGTGCAGAAATCCCAGAATAAGAATGGTTCTAAAAAACAACAAGAATGGTCCTCAGGTCTGCGACTCCTTCTGGCTCTTTTTGCCCCCACCCCACAGCTCGGTTAACAGTTGCTCTTATTATTAAAAACAAAACAAAAAGAACTCCACCCCCACACCCGCAAACCTACATACACCACATTCACTTTAAATCTTAACATTTTGATATATAAAAACCTCTGTAGTGCCAAATCAAATAAATATTTGAAATAATGATTTTCATATGAAACCTTGCTTATTCCAGTCAGCATAGTATAGTTCTGTTTTTTCCTTGTCTTGATAAATATTTCTGTTGAGGATGCGGCTTGTTGTTAGCCTTCATCTTTAGATATATTCTAGGATGGGATGGTAATGCTGTCATATTTTCACTACTTTGCTTCTTCCATTTTACTACCATGGAAGAATTTCAGACTACCATGAAAGAATGGTCACTTCTGCAGGAGAATCCCATAAAATCATAGCAAAAAGAGTATCAGTAACAAGTGCTGAAAGTAATGGTGACATTTCTTTCAGACTACAATGTTACGATGAGGTTCTTTATTTTTTCTCTCCTCTCTGTTTGCTTTCCTACCTATACAACTTAGAAAATGAGCTGAGAAAAGTGCATGGTTTTCATAAGGATGAAAACATCTATTAGAATTGAAAGTGAGTGAGATATTCCATTTTTGGAGAAAGCAAATGTATGTGGCTAGTTGGTTTAGTAATGAAAATTGGCTTTACAATTTTTTTCATTCAACTCTATAAGCTGAGTGAACTAAATATGTAAAATGAAGTCTTTGACAGAAATATATTTGAGGCATCACCTACTGAGATAGCTAAAATAAAAAATAAAAACAAGTGTTGCGAAAGACATGGACAAATTGGAATCCTCATTTGTTGCTGATAGGAATGTCTAATGGTGCAGCCACTTCAGAAAACAGTATATCAGTTCCTCAATGTTGAAAATTAAGTCAACAGTATTTAAAAGCAACCTTAAATGGTGTTAAAAATATATAGTAACAGAAACTCTCATTTATTGCTCCCAGGAATGAAATATGCTACAGCCATTTTGGGAAACAGCTTGGCAGTTTCTTACAAATATGCATAGACTTACCATACAAGTCATCAATCCTATTTCTAGATATTCATCCAAGGACATAAAAAACCTGTATTCTCTCAAAATTCTGTAAACAAATGTTTAGAGTAGTTTTCTTAATAATTACCAAAAATTGTATATTCTTCAAGTAATAAATAAATAAACTGTGATATATCCATGCGATGGAATATTACTTTAAAAAAAGAAAAGAAACAAGCTATTTACTTACACAAAAGCCCTGGATAAAACTTAAATGTGTCTTACTAGCTGAAGAAAGCCAGGCAAAATAATTATGTAGAGATTGTACAATTCCATTTGTATGATATTTGAAAAAAGGCAAGACTATAGGGATGGAAAACATACCAGTGGTTTCTACATGTTAGGAGAAGACAGCGTGGTCAACTATAATGGGGATACGCAGAAGGATTTTTAGTGTGGTAAACTTTTCTATGAGTTACTGGAGTGGTGGATACAACATTCTATGCACTTGTCAAAATTCATAGAATTGTACATTGTAGAGAGTGAACTTTAATGAATGCAAATAAAAAAATATGATCTAGAGTGTTAGGGAATCTTATTATGTAATGTAGCCTCTGACAAATAAGCCTAACTGTATTGTAATATATAGGAAATTTTACTACAGTTGATGTGGAAATTTTACTACAGGTCATGTGGGAAAAAAAAGGGGATGACTTAAGTAACTTTGCAAAAGAGGTATTCAGTTTGTAAAATTAAAGACGAAAACAACTGTCCATAAATATAATATTCTAGTTGGTAAATTTGAATATCACACACTTATAGATGAATAATTCTTAAACTATGTGTGTTATTAGAGATAAGCAAATAATGGAAGATAATAAAAAGTTTCTCACTGTCAGGAAAATAAGTTACAAATAAGCAAGAGCAGAATGAACTCTGTGGTGCTAGACTAAGAGTCTGAGATATCCGTATGAACTCATATTAAGTTCAATATACACATAGGTTGATATGGAAATAATTACAGATATGTATATAATATGTGTTCATTTTCTATTGCTACTGTAGCAACTTGTCACAAATTTAGCTACTTGAAATAACACAATTTTGTGTTCAAAAACAATCCTGTACGTCAGAAATTCAGGTTGGCTCTCCTGGTTTCTTGCTCTGGATTTTATAAACTTTTTTTGGCTGGGTTTTCATTACAAGGCTCTAGGAAGAATTTACTTCTAATCTCGTTTAGGCTTTTGGCAGGATTCAGTTCCTTGCAATTATAGGACTGAGCTACCTGCTTTTGGCTAGCTGTTAACAAACCCCTGAAGGTCCTCTCAGGTTTGTAGATTCCTATATCTGAGAGCCAGCAATGATGCATTGAATTCTTAGAATTGGAATCTCTCTGATTTTCATTTCTACTCCATCTGTTTTCCGCTTTCAGCCAGAGAAAATTCTCTGCTGTTAAGGACTCATTTGATTAAGTTGGGCCAAACTAGATAATACAGGATAAACTCCCTAATTAAATACTGTGATATAATTATATCTGCAAAGTCTCTTTTGCCACGTAGCACCAGTATTTACAAGTTCTGGGGAATAGGATATGGACATCTTTGGTGGGCCATTATTCTGCCTACTCAAACAGGATTTGGATACACACAAATATTTTCAAGCTCTGTTCATAAGAGGGCAGAGAAGCAGTGACTTATAAATAAATAAGTGGGGGTGGGGGGAAGGACAAAATTTATAGAGGAATTCCAAATAATGTGTGTAGATACATTCCTCTACTAGAAGTGGAGCTTAATTGACTGTTTGAATGTAGTGATAAATAGATTCTGAGTATTCAAATTATTATTCACCATGATTTAGAAATATTAGATTTGAAAGACCCAAAAGGAAAATATGCTCTTCTGTTTTGACACCTTTCTGTAAAGAAGATTTGCAGTGTGTTCTGCACTGACCTAAACCACAAGGGCATTTTGTCACCACTTCCCCAAGATCTGTCTTCATGTAACAGCATCAAGCTCTGAGGACCTTGTCTTTCAAAATTAAAATCCTGATACCATGTATCACCCCACATAGAGGCTGAAATGTCTTCTTGACTAAATCAAGTTTTCATCTATATTCACAGTATCAGTGTCTCTACGTCCTGCTGTTCTTGGACAGGTTTTTCAGGTTTTGTTTATGCAAATGTCCTCTGTTTCTCTCCAGGACTTTTAAGGCCTGCTTACTTAGCTACTAGTATTTGCTCATGGTGGTGACTGATTAAAATCTATGGTGGAAAGATTTCATTACAGGTTTTCAATATTCTTTGAAAATTGGAACATGTTATGGATATACTCTATTATTATTTCTATTAGGAAGCCTTTGAAATATTTGGAGCAGTTTAACTTCAATTCACCTTTCTGTTGACAATGATTGTAAAATATGCAACTACATATTCCCTATGTTATGCAGAGTTCTGGGTGCTGAAATGACCAATAATCTATAGTTACATATATTCTCATGTACATATCGTGTCATTTTAGTCACTAATTTTTAATATTTCAAAATATACCAATCCTTCTTTTAAAAATTTAAAAATAATTTTTAAATTGCTTATGAATTTGTAAATGTCCCTATTAATAATAGCAGCAAATTACAATTTATGCATTTGAAAATATTTCCATGAGTTCTTGGGATCATTGTAAAAGGTAGGCTAAGGTCTGTGTGGTGCTATTTCCCACTTTCAATGGTGAAAACCGCTACTCTTGTATCAACCTAATAGATAACTTCTTACATAGTGCAGAACTAGTTTGAAAACAACAGAATAATTCACACGATAACATTACGTATGAATTAGCTGATGCATTTGTTTTAAAGTATACCTTTTTTGCATTTGTTCCTCCATCTACTTATCTATTCTTCTGACATAGTTCTGTTGCATAAATTTTAAGTAAATTTTACTCTTTTTATATTTTGTTTCTATAATTTAAATTTTTAGAAGATAAAAGGACATATGGAGATATGGCCAAAATTAAATAGCTAAGTTACCCAATCACAAATAGGTAAATTTTAGGACTTTTGTGTATTAAATTCCTACAGATCTCTGTTATTGATTATTAATTGATGTAGGCACTGAATAGGCCACACTCAATGTGAAGACTAAGGTAAGAATTTTAATGTTATTGCAATAAAGTTAGTGCGATATAAGTTCTATAAATATTATAGTATATAATACAAATCATTACCAGTTGAAACTAATCCTAGGGGAGGATTGATGTATGGCTGAGATTAGGTTTTATTTTCCTTAGGGAGTCCAAATTAGATCAGTGGATGTAATCATCCTTAATAAGAAAATTGTCTTCTTAAAGTTATAATTGAAAAGCGTGTTTCAAGAGGGAACATTTTAATTAAAATTTTAATAAAAGAAATTGGAAGCTACAGAGTTTAATTCACAGTAATAAGTTATTCTAGAGTTATTTCAAACTAATAAGTAACCTGGGATTATTTTTCTAAAGACGTTCCAAAAACTTTTGTCAATTTAGCTTTAAATATATTTTATTATTCTACAATAAAATAATGAATTAATTCATTAAAACTAAAACAATGTTAAGTATCAGCTTGTCTTCTAATACTGAAACTCAGGACATTCCCATTACTATATGATTTTTCTATTACTCCCAAGCTAAAAAGTTTCAATAGAAAATAGAAGTATGGGATACCTCCTGAGAAACAAATGGTCCACTGAATTTTAATAAAATACATCTTTATTTATTAAGGCTACTACTTAATCCTCATTATGATGTATCTAATTGTGGCTTGCATTATGCAAAACATATTTATAATTTAAACAATTATATTAGTTGATTAACTTTTGATACAGTCAAAATATTTGCC